TGAGTTCAAATCCGAACAACCACCAACCCAGCAAACCACTACTGAAAGAATTGCAAACTGTGATCCGGTGTTTGACAGGACAAAAAAGCAAAAAAAAAACAAAAAATATATATATCCAAGGCTTACAAAGCAGCATCAGCATTCCATAGGCAGTGTCAACAACAATGCACAGGTGAGCCTAAAAACCACCCCGACCCACCCAAACCCAAACCCGACCAAGAAACCCCTACCCACCCTCATTTGCACCCTTTTCCCTTCATTTTCTTGCGGGCGAAGCTGCAACAGGTACCCTTCTGGCAAATAATAATTAAAAAAAAAAAAGGATGGAGAGGACGGCGAGGAGGCCCAGCTGGGCAAGAAAAGCGACCTAGTTCCTGAGAGAAAACAAGCATGAAGAATATGAAATGTGACATCGCCAGGTTGAAATCATGAGTAGGAGGAGATAGTTTGGATTTGCACACAACTTCACAGTGTTTGTTGCAGCGATGTTGAATGGCACCATCATGCTGAAATTGTGAGAGATGGGGAGGAGACAGTCTTGGCTGGCAGTGTTATTTGCAGGACTGGTGAGCCAAGTGTGCTTCATTGGCATACGATGGATACCTCTTCATCACAGCCCTCTGCTGACGGAACACGGCAGACCTCAGAATGAAGCTCCTCAGAGAAGTCCCTAATGCAAAGCAACAATGGACAGCCATCGGCAATAAAGCGATCAGACGCACTCCATGTCTGCGTTGTTGATCAAAGATCCCTGTTGGATTTGATGACTGAAGCAAAAAATTCAACCTGATGCTACTTAATGAGTTTAAATCAGTGCTGGTCCCCCGGATGGACCGGGGGGAGGCCCCCCGTCCAACCCAGGGCATCGCGCTGGGGGGTGGGGGTACCAGAGTCACGGCCATCCACACAACTGCCCAGACCCCAGGGGCCCACTGCCCTCCTTTGAAAAAAAAAGGGGGGCCTTTTGGACCCCACTTGTTGAAAAAATTGGGTGGAGGATCTCCACCGATGATTTTTGCAGATCGGCAGCCGAGAACCACTGCATATTTTTTTTACCATGAGTGGCATGAGGGGTCCAATAGGCCGCTGTCCTTATTTTAACAATGTGTGGTCCAGTGGACCACAGACCAGACATTATTGAATGGTCCTTACGCTTGTCCACTGTGAGCCAGCATGATGTTTCAGCAGTAGTGTGCTGAGCTTATGTGTTTCTTCGACGTCCCTGCGTTCTGGGAATATTTATGGGTTCGGGTTTCGTGAAGGCAGAATAGTAGTGTAACTAGTGTTGTCCAAAGCGCAAGCTCAAGAATGGACCTCGTTCCGCTACATGTACCTGGACAGACTGCCAGGCACGATACTTTCGGACTATTGAACCATGGCACATTGAAAGAAAACAAACAGGAAAAAAAAAAAAAAAAAAAAAAAAAACAGAAACGCNAAACGCTCTGCCCGCACGATCTGAAATCTGAACCCATAACTTCCTGCTGTCGGCCACGATACTATGCAAGACTATAAGTTTGGCTCCCATCAGCATATCATATTCACACTCTCGGGTGTCGTGGGCTTGTGAAGGCCATGACCCCCTATAGAGTTCAATTGAAATAAGTCAGATAAATAAGCTTCTAAGCTTGATTCCTCTACGTGAAAGCCATACCTCCCTGAACTCACCTCAATAATACCTTCCCTGCCCCCTGGACAACACCCTACAAAAAAGACTCCGCCTTCAAAGTTTTAATACGGATTTCGACAGATCTTAAATAGCGCAGTCGGAATCCGCAGAAGAAAACAAAAAGAAGAAGAAAAAAAGGGCGTTTTTTTTTGAAAACCGGTTTTATCGGTTCACCCCCCCTGGGCCCGTCCGGCCCCAGATGAACCGGGCGAGTTGAACCGGCCGGTTGCCGGCCCAGCCTTGGTTTAAATTTTAAAATTACTTTATTAGTTCAAGAATTGACCATGTGGAAAGGAAGCAGAAAGGGGGGAAAGGAAAACGGAGAAAAAAAGAAAAAAAGGCGCACCCATTCTGTAGGGGCATGGAAGAGAGAATATACACCTGGGATCAAGCCCACCTGCTGAAACAGCACATCACTTCTGCAAAGGACACCACTGTCCCTGACCAGAAAACCCTATTGGAAAAAGCACCCCATAGATGTACGGGTCCCACCTCATGTACAAACGCACACTATCTCATATGCACAGGCTGTCCCTGTATGTGTACCAGGTCCTGCCCGGTTCATGGCATTTGGACCTTGGTGGGGCGGGGGCACTCCCGATTGCGTTGAATAGTTGCAAGCCACCCTCCTCCCCCTGCCATAGTACCTTGGTCGTCGCTCAGGTCGAGCACCTTCATAGTCTTACTTAATGCAGTCGCTCCTGTTGCCGCTACCACCATTGCCCATACTGCCTCCATTATCCTAGCCCAGGTAAGTCACCACCAACATCCTTATCCACTGTCACTCCTCTCTCTCTCTCCTCCTCCATGTCATAGCAGAGCAACTTAAAGTTTGTCATTTTCCTCTGGCCGGGCCACATGGCACCCGTGGCTGATCGTGCTGCATAGAAAGAGTGAGAGAAAGAGAGATCCCTCCTCCCAGTGCCGTCGTCCTCCTCCCTGCATCATCCTCCTCCTCTTCCGCTTCCTCCTCACCGTCCTCCCCCTCCTTTTGTCATTCTCCTCCATCGCCACTCCTCCTCCAGACCCATGTCAGCAACCACCTCCTCTTCCCGAGGGCACATGCCACGTGCAGCTTATCCATAAGGACCATAACTCTTAAAAAAAACAAGAAAAAACAATGGAACCAGTGCACACACGGGAAAGAGAGAAATGTCTTAGCCGGCATCATCACCTTGCTGCTTCTCCGCCGCCACCTCCTCGTCCTTTTCTCGTACTCCTTCCTCACCACTCCTCTTCTTCCACTTCCTCCTCTTTCTACTCCTCCTCCTCCTCCTCCGACACTCCTCAGTGTTAGCAACCCCTCATCTTCCTCCTCTGTGCAGACCACGTGGCACTCACAGCTTATTGTGGTGCTAGCACATGCGCTTGAGAGTGAGCGAGTCACCCTCCTCCTCTTCCCCTTCCCCCTCCTCTTCCACGTCAGCAACCTCCACATGCTGCTAACAGAAGAAGGGGGGGGGAGAGAAGAACGAGAGGGAGGAGTGGTCAACACATGCTCTTCCTCCTGTCTCTTATACACATCTAGATGTGTATAAGAGACAGGTGCAGACCACGTGGCACTCACAGCTTATTGTGGTGCTAGCACATGCGCTTGAGAGTGAGCGAGTCACCCTCCTCCTCTTCCCCTTCCCCCTCCTCTTCCACGTCAGCAACCTCCACATGCTGCTAACAGAAGAAGGGGGGGGGAGAGAAGAACGAGAGGGAGGAGTGGTCAACACATGCTCTTCCTCCGTCCTGGCATGGGATGGCATCTTTCCTACAACATCAGCACAAGGACCCCGCTACCCTCCAATTCCTCTCTGTCCTCCCTCATTTAATCACCAGTGACCAGCGGTGGCAAGACTGGCGCACAGATAGTGAGTTCCCGTGGCACAGCAGGAGGACACAGGAAGCAGGCTTTACAGGAGGAGGAATCCATCAATGAGGTAATGTTGTTGACAGGGCAACCGGGGCAGTACTGTGTTGGATCCAACGGGGACAACAATCGGATCCCATTGAGCCATGGGGGATGTAAGATCAGGTGGACATTTTGTATGCACGAGTTCAAGGGTGGCCAGGCACGGGATACTTACCATTTACGATGAAGAGGGTGTCCTCACGGCGTCCATATCATTTTACAACGAAGAGGGTGTCCTCATGTTATACCTGGTGGGCATCTTTGCAATATGGAGGAGGGTATGTGACGCAGGGGTGAAGATGCCAAGTGAGTTGCTCAACAGGCTGCATCCAGAAGAGATCTGGATTGCGATAAATGTAGACCGAAGTCTTGCTGTTGGGGGGGGCAGGGGTTACCAGGGGGGGGGATTGAGGGAGTTGTTGAGGGTGACTGACGATTGGCCACTAGCCAGCCATCCACATGGTACAGGACAGGCTGCATACGCCTTGGTTGCAGCGACTGTTGCAGGAGCGGCACAACAAAGCACGAGGCAGCTCCCATTACCCCCTATGTCCACAACCCTGGGCAGGAGGAGGTGGACGAGGTGCCGATGGAGTGTTTCGCACGAAATCGTCTTCCCTCTGATGTGGCGAAGAGCAGATCATGGAAGTTCTGTAAACCCTGCTTCGGCCCACAGCTTGCAGGAGGGCTTCTCTGAAGTCCACCTCTCGCAATCTGCTGCAGACCAGGATTCTGAGGGGCATGGTACACGGGCTAGACTCCATGGCAATTGCTGTTCGCAATGAGCAGGAGGTCACAGGCAGCACACATCACCCATGGCACCACAGATATCTCTTTGGGCGGCCCTCAGTGAACTACATCTCCTTGGGGCAATCAAAGCCCCTCTTCCTGAAGTGTGACAAAGTCGCCAATGAGGATACAAATGCTCCTGCGGTGGTGGAGGGGTGAAGAGGTTCTTGAGAGAAGTGGGTCTAGAGAAGGTGACGATGACTTGCACTGACTCGTGCAATGCAACTGTATCTGTTCCAGAGATATTCCATCCAAATTTTGAGCACATCTACTGGATCCTCTGCGCTGCCCATTGCATTACCCTCTTCATGCACGATTTGACACACATCCACAACCCCGGGCAGAGAAACAGGGCCATCTTTACTGATGAGAGCCTCCCAATGCAGTTTGAGAGTGTTGTAGAGCAGTTGGTTGGACCCCGTGGGAGCCAGGAGTTCTTGGCATGCATCGATCACAAGTGCTGCTTCCAGTTCGCCAGGGGTGTTATAGGAACAGATGCGGCCTTGCCATGGGCTCAGGTTGACAGTGCAGTGCAACGGTGGGAGTCACAGGGAACTGGCCATCCGAAGGTTCACAGGTTGGCTCGCAGCGTTTGTTGACAACATCTCCTCATTGAGAGGAACTGGTGGACGAGGGGTCTCGCTCAGATAAAGAAGCGACAAGCTCCACCACCACTGAATGGAGAAGCTTGTGTATGCTCACTTGGCCTTTACAGAAGGGGAGAGTGGAGGAGGTGGCCACACCATTGACTGGGTGGTTGGGGCTAAAGGAATGGGAATGGACCATTCCACAGGAGATGTAGCGCCAGCTGCACAGGCAGGAGGCATGACCGGCAGTGGAGGTAGTGGTGGGGACAGTAGGGCTGCATGGGGCACTGGTGGGTGCCTGGGATGGTGGTGATGAGAGTGTGACAACACAGACAGCTCAGCGAGGGATTGGGACCAGGACCAGTACATGGATGATGAGGATGAGGAGGATGAGGAGGATGAGGAGGATGAAGAAGATGAGGAGAATGGTGAGGAGAATGGTGAGGTGTAGTGGCGAGATGAGCGGTCAGACTCGGATGAGTTGTGGATGAGGAGGGAGCACATCCTACCTTATGTGGCAGGCATACGTTGAAGCTCTAGGCCGTACTCGGCAGGATGAGATGTGGACAATGAGCTGCAGCGCCAGGACCAGCCCCAGGGGAAGATGGAGGTTCAGCAGGAGGTGGAGCAGCCAGAGGGAGAGCAGCAGATTGATCGATATCGATTGATCGAGCAGTTGGAGGCGGCGAACAGGCCCAAGATCAGCGGAAAATGCAAGAGCTGCA